TAATAATAATAATAATAATAATAATAATAATAAAAAGAGAGAAAAAAATTTCTTCTTATGATTTGAGAGGAATAATGATGAAGTTACTGTTTTGTTACATATTATGAAATCTAAACTACTTGAATCGGGTCCCTTTGTTAATTTCAAAAGGGATCCAAAGAGGTGTAGCTGTCACATCTATTAAGAAGCACAGAAGAAGGAGGCTTAGTAAACTCGGGCAAGTTTGAGTCACACGAAGATCCAAATTTGTGGTCTTCACTGTCTTTACATGTCATTCATTTCTCAATCTACAATGTTGCTCTCTCTTCAATGGACAAAGGCTTGGATGAAGCACTTGTTTCTCCTGAAGGGAAAGCCTCAGCTTCCTAATGTCACACACAGACACTCTAAGAGATCAAAGCTTTGTGCAATCCAGCTGACTCAATAGACAGTCATGCAAAAGAACACAGCAATATTCTAGACTGAGGACCAGAGAAGACTAAAGTATTGTGACAGAAGTCAGTCAATTCCTGTCAGCTCCTGTACTAAGAGAGCATTGACAGCCACGTACACTCAGCTATGGAACATCCTGAGAGGCCATGGCTACAGACAGAGCCTTGTAGCAGTTGGAGCACAGCAGGATGCAGAAACCCTGATATAGGATAGAAAAGCAGCAGCTGCTAAAAATTCTGGCTACACTACAATTATCTCCTGTGTATCTTCATCCCTGTGTCTCATCCCTGTGTGTCTCATCCCTGTGTGTCTCCATCCCTGTGTACATCCATTCCTGTGTGTCTACATCCTGTGTGTCTACATCCCTAAGTGTTTCCATCCTTTGTATCTCTTAGGATTGAATTGGGTCACTTTGTTAATTTCAAAAGGGATCCAAAGAGGTGTAGCTGTCACATCTATTAAGAAGCACAGAGGAAGGAGGCTTAGTAAACTCAGGCAAGTTTGAGTTACACTAAGATCCAAATTTGTGGTCTTCACTGTCTTTACATGTCATTCATTTCTCAATCTACAATGTTACCAAATTGGCTGAAAGGGCAGATTTCTTTCTCCTACGAGGATGAGGTTGGTGGTTGATCCTCCTGTGGTTTCACTTCAACCATCCCCATCCTTCTGACAAGAAACTGGTAAGGAATTTGTGTTAAAAGGAGCCAGACCACACCAGCTGAGAGGAGAGGTGGGAAATAAGATATCCCCTTCCCCATACTAGTTTTCTTATCAATAGTTCAAACATAAATTTGGGTTACTATTATTCATTATTATTTTGAACATCCATGAGAGATTTAACATCTCAGCATGTTCTTCTCTCATTGATATATCAAAATCAAATCAATGACAGCAATCATAGAATGGGATGTATAATATAATACACTTCAATTTTATTATAAACCTGTGTTTCTATTTTAATGGCATTAGACAAAAATAAGATTTCCTTCTCAAAATACTGAAACATGTGTTTCTTTCATAGAAGGACATATCCTGTGGTAGAACATTTTACACACACTTACACACACACACACACACACACACACACACTGGCCCTTGCCTTGAAGTCTTCTAGAGTATGAGGCAGAGGGAAGACCCTGGAATCTGGCAGGCACAGCTCATCCCTATCTGCTCTTGCTGCCCTGACATTCTTGGGCTCTGCTCACAGGAACCATAATCTACACATGTGGAGAATGAATGCCAATGTAAACTATCAGAGCAGCCTATGTCAGACTCAAATGTTCTGCAACAAGGAACTCAAACCCACAATCAAGTCACCAAAACCATTTTTCAAAGGAAAAAAAGAACCCTTTCTGCACATTGTCTAACCACGGAACAGTAGGATGGAAACCCAGCCGTATGTGCACTGGTTACAATGACTCCCTGTGGGGAATAGGCAGGGGACAGAGTGTTCATCCTGAAAGGATGGGTTTCCACTCTAAGTCTAGGCACATGCTATGTCCCCATTGAGACCCCGAACTACAGCTTACATCACATAGTTCTGACAGCTACTGACTTCTGCTGTTTTGTGTTCTGGACAGAAGTTTTGCCCCAAGAATTCATTGTGAAGCAAAGCCTGTAACACAAACAAAAACAGGACAGACAAATATTTTTATAAGTTTCCAAAGAATAAACACAGCTATAACTTCTAATTCAATCTTGACTGTAATTTCAAATTTCAGTCTGTAGATCACACTGGCCTTGAACTCACAGAGATCTGCCTGCCTGTGTCTCTCAAGTGCTGGGATTAAAGGCTAGAGCCACCACCGCCAGGTTCAAAAATATTTTAAACAAACAAAACCCCACCAAGTTCAGTGTGCCCAGCAAAGCAGTGCCCCTCCCCCACGCAGGAGGTTTAGGATTGAAATGAAGGAGATTCCCAAATACTAAGAGGTGGACTCTTAACTAGATTACCTCAGGCACATCCTTCTCTGCCCAGTCTATAACATGGAAACACTGTAATTGAAACAATGCTATTGATTCATAGTAACAATATTTCTTGCTTCTTTTCGTCAAAACCAGTTGTGATTATGGGGATAAGAAAGTCTGTTAAGACACACTTTACTGCAGAGAAAGCTTGGCAAAGTCAGGATGGCTGTGGGTATGACTTGGTTTCTGTTTCTTTTAGGTTCCTGATGTAAACTATGTATCACAGTCCCTGAACCTTTCATTATTTCCTTATTGGGCAGGATCACAACTGTATGCTGATAGATATCATCTGTCTTTCCTCTTTACCCTGGGATTTTTCTTACTATTTATCTCCCCCTAGTAACACACCATTGGAGAAAACCCAAAAGGACACACTGGCCTTTGGGAAAACCAACAGGAAAGTTCTCATCTTTAGCTCCTGGAAGGAGAATCCTGGGCAGCAGCTGGTTAGAGATTACAGCTGGGGAAAGGACTTGGTTGGGAATCATTTCAGTTGCTACAGTTGAAGAAGCCAAGTACAGTGACAGACAGGATAACTTACTGTGAATCCATAATGAGGAATATTAACATACTGAATGAGTGAAAGCCCAGGTATTAAACTTCCTGAATATATTTCCAGACCTGAGAAAACCTGTGAAGAGAAAACCATGAAATAGAACCACTCTTTTGGCTAAGAATTCTAGACAAGATCATCCTCTTCAAGACCCCTTCATCCTTCTGACCATTTCTGCTCAGACCGCTCTTTAAAACATTCTTTCAGTTAACTATAAACAGAAACAGAACTCTTTACTCTGCAAAACCAAGGGTATTTTTGTTTTTTAAAGTAGTTCCTGCCACCCCTCTGCAGAAGCCAATCTTACAGAAATTACATTACCTTTAAAATTGCATGCAACGTATGAACATTCTTTAAACTTTAAATACACCCATCCTACATATTTAAAATCTCTTTAGTTTCCTTAGAATATCTACTTTATGTAGCTATATACTCAATGCTGCATAATTCCAGGGACGATTATATTCAGAGCAGAATAATCATTTGTTTCATATATTTTCAAGATGTGATTGGTTGAATCTTTAATAAGATGGCAGGCCAAATGTAGTGACAATTCTAATAAAACCATAACCATCTAGGAATACATGCTAGAAGAAAACTGTCCTGTTTTTATCAACTGGACACAAGCTAAATTTACTGTAGAGAACCAAAATTAAGAAATTTCTCTAAGGAGGTGCTCGGTCCTCCCTCAACTTCATGTGACTTGCTTTGTTCAAGCCCATGAAAGCCTGCCCCTTTCTGAATGAAGACAGAGGGGAGTGGATGGGAAAAGGGTAGATAGGAGTCAGGGGAGGAATAGAAGAGGAGGGAGGGCAAATTGTGGTCAGTATGTAAAATAAAAAATGTTAATTAAGTAAAATTAAATTTTAAAAAACTGTCCCTATAAGATTATATATAGGCAAGCCAGTGGGGCATTTTCTTAATTAGTGATTGAGCTGACAAGGCCCAGACCAATAGTGTGTGTTACTATTCCTGGTCTGGCCATCCTAGCTTCTAGAAGGCAGCATACTGAGTGAGTCACTAAAACAAGCCAGTAAGTGGCACCCTCCATGGTCTCTGCATCAGCTCCTGCCTCCAGGTTCATGCCTGTTTGTGTTCCTATTCTGACCCCCTTCAATGATGAGCAGTAATATGAAAAGTGTAAGGCAGATAAACCCTTTTCTCCCCAACTTACTTTTTGGTCATGGTGTTTCATCACAGCACTAGAAACCCTAAGTAGGACAAATACTGAACATCACATATCCACTTCTACTTCCAAGTCTTGGTACTTATGAGTTTTGAATATCTCTTCATGACATTAGAAGTAATTTTGGATTCAATTAAAATACCACCTTCAGACAACTTCAAGCCTAGAACTGATAAACCACACAGAAAGTGCCAAGTCCCCATTTTTAAAAAGCTGCCAAACCACAGAACCACAACAGAGATGCCAGAAAGCACTGATGGGGATGGACAAGGGACAGCTCTGGAGTTCACAATAAACTTGTCCTATCTACTCTTGAGTACCTTACAATATGCAAAACAGTGACTGTGTTTGCATGCGTCAGACTTCACCTGACCAAATGCTTATATAGGAAATACAACATTTGCTTTCATCAGGTCCCACATAGAAACTTTATGCAATAACCAGTTGTTTTAATTCCTTTCCTGTGGCTGTGATAAAACACCATGACAATCATAGAGAAGTCTGGAGCTTTTCCAAGTACAAATTACAAACATAATGGGAAAGAAATGAGGGAAACAATCTCATTCACAAAAATCTCAGAAAGGGGTAGGAGAATGGGGGATCTTGAAACAAATCTAACTAAATGAAATACTTATATAATAAAAACTTTAAGATGCTGAAAAGAAAACTGAAGATACTAGATGACACACAGACCTCCCATGCTTATAGATTGATAGGATAAATATGAAAATATCCATTGTGCCAAAAGCAATCAATAGATTCAATGCAACTCCCATCAAAATTACAATACAATTCACATAAATTTAAAAAAATACTAAATTTTACATGGAAATACAAAAGCCCTGATTAGCAGAACAATTCTAAACAACAAAACTGTTGGAGATACCATCAATCATTAGAGGTGTCACTACCATTGGTGAGAGGACCCATCCCCCTTTTGTGTAAGGAATAATTAGTCTCCTCTATTGATAAGAGGCTTTCAGCGGGCCTGTGCACACCTGGGAACAAGAGCAACAGACTCTAGCACACTTTACCACCCATGTGTCCTCCTCTCATGCAGAAAGTAACATGCCATTTGCTCTGGTAGGACAGGATCCCACTCAAAAGAAAAGGATACTTGAGCCTGGGGATGACCTGCCTCACAGGAGTAGCAAGCACTCCATGGGCACACGCTGTAGAGTTATCACAGTTTTCAAGTATTCAATTATCCACATGAGTTTTCTAAGCACACTTATCAAAAGTAAAAAGAAAGTGAACTCTACCAATACTATGTATACCCTTTAGAGAATGAGGCATAATTAGGTTCCTTTTGAGAATTAATTTTAAAGGCTGCTTGGATGATCCAAAGGGGACAACTTGGGACACATGTACTTGTCCATCCAAGAAAGCTTTATTTTTTTTGTTTCCTTGGGTCTTGTCTTGTTTTCTTACTCATCAAACTGATATCAGAGCAGTAGCCACAAAGCCTGGGAGGAGAGGCTGCTCCTTCTCTCCTACAGACCATAATAAGCTTCAGCATAAGGCCCCATATCCCAAGTTCTGATGTGTCAAGCTTGTAAATGCTCAAGAAGGAACACAAGGAAATTTTTCCTCTCACTAAAACACAGTTCACACTCACCAGCATGAAGACAAAGTAGATTGTCACAAGTAGTGTTGATACAGCTGTTGCATTCTCCCCTGCTCCCATACACAGCGGCAGGGAACTGGTAGAATATGCCAACATCATGATAGTAAACAACATAGTGAAGAAACCCTTTGCATCTGTTATTATCCCTTAGAAAGAAATAAAGTGAGGTCAGTTCCTCTTCCTAAGTCAGGGGAATTGTACATATTTCAGATAATACTTTAATAGCCAACAAGACCAGTAACAGCTTCATAGCCACCCAACTTCTCTGGGTCTGCCTCTGCCACCTGATCATGTGGATGCTGGAAACCAAATTTGGGGACTTTGGAGGAGCAGCATGTTCTCCTAACCAATGAGCCTTTCTCCGGCCCCATCATATGGTTTTATTTTTATACTTGCCACAAAATACCTTTCCTTATAGTACCTGTTCTCCTCTACACATACTTATGAGCCATTTATAGGATCCTGGCATGGAGACCTACAGGCAACACAACTGGCTAAATTTCTACTGCATTCTCTTACAGGAGAAATCAGCAGTAGAACATGTTCATGTCCACATTTCCTGTGTTCATATAATTGTATTAGTAATGAAACTGGAGTCAGGACTGTACTGGTAGATTTTTTTTTGTCAATATAACACAAGCTAGGATCTTATAGGAAGAGCCAACCTCATTGAGAAAAAATGCCTGCATTAGATTGGCCCTGAGGCAAGCCTGTGCCAGCATTTTCTTGATGAATGATTCATGTGGGCAGTCTTAGACATCTGTGGATGATGCTATCCCTAGGCAGGAGGTTCTGGGTTCTATAAGAAAGCAGGCTGAGGAAGTCATTAGGATCAAGCCAGTAGGCTCCCAAAATATATATGGAAAGATATGTAATAATTGGCTTTGCTCCATTGGCACTGTCTCAAATGTATATTATTTATTCAGTCATTATACTACAGAATCTCTTAATTAAATCACAGTTCACAAACAGCATTGGAATATTTTGTGAATAAGTTTTGGAGTCTTTTCTCTCACTGAACACTTGTGTTAGATAGCCTATGGTGGAGACATGGTTTTCTACTTATGCTTCTCTACTTTAGGCTTGCCACAGTTTTACAAACCAAAACATGCTCCCCCAAGAGTAAAGATGCATTCTCTTGCTTTGTCACTTACCTGCTATGAAGAATACGATAACAGTAAATGTAATACTTGGCAATAACCTCCTGGGTACCAGCTCAGCCAGCAATTTCCCAAGGAAATACGATGACACGCTGTAGTATCCACTGGTATGCTCATGTCTACAGAGACAAAGATCATGTTATACATCCTTAGATTAGTCCAGAAGGCACAGGTGAGATGCTGGCTACACTGACTTCTGCTACCACAGGGAGCCTAACAGGACAGTGTCCCTATGCTCCAGGCTGACTCCCATACAGGTCCCCATCTTAGGGACCAGCATCTCTAGACCAGCATCCCTTTTACATCCTCACTATGATTCTCCCCATCAGGGAACTCTCCCCTCTTTTGTTCACTCTGTCCACACAACAGCCTCTCCAGGGAAACAGTCTGATGAGCCCACTCTCCTCAGAGTCTGCTCCACTCTGAAGCTGGCACCCTGAGGAGCAGCTCTTTTATACCTCACCTCACACAGTCTCCTTCCAGTTCTTATGAAGAAGGTAACACTGTCACTCTGAGGTCACATTGCAGTGTCAGGACACTACATCCTTCTTTTTGGCTACTCTTATTTTAGGACAGATGTACGTAACAATAAGTCTTTACTCCAACCACCTGAGCCCTGCCAACATGTGGGTGCTTTCTGCCAGGCCACCAGGTTAAGGTCCCAAGTAAAACACAGAGACTTATATTAGGTACAAATGCTGCTTGGCCAATGACTAAGATTTCTCATCTACTAGCTCAGTCTTAATTGTCATAAGTCTATATATTTTATAAGACTTATCTTATAGAGGATGCCTTCCGCTGGCACCCTCTCTTGCTGGTGGATCACATGGTGACTCCAGAGCAGAAACCAGGAGGAAGAGAGAACGGGCGACTTCCTTCTTGCCCTTGCTTATATATGAGTCTCCCTGCTATGTCACTTCCTGCCTGGATCACCACTTCTTTACTACATTTCCCAGAATCCTCCTCGACTCCTAGTCCCACCTAACTTGCTGCCTCATTGGCCAAACAGTACTTTATTCATCATCCAATAAGACAACACATACACAGAAGCATGTCCCCCATCAGATGTATTCCTTTAACAGACTCTTTTACAACCACGAATCTATACCAGATACCAAACCTAATCCTTTTCCTTCCTGGCTCTTCTGAATCCCAACCTCTTCACTTCTGAATGAATTCATTGTAACTGTGAATTTTTTTTCTGAGAATAAGCCCCTAGAGCAGGCTGACCTCAAAATCCATATGTATCCAAGAATGCCCAAACCTCCTACCTGCCTCTACTTCTGGCATTACAGGACTACCTGCCAGGCTCATGGTTTGGTGGTACTGTGACTCTAACACAGGGTTTCATGCACACAAAGCAACCACTCTACCAACTGATGGAGGCCCTTAGCTCCTTTTTGATGTCTCCTTTCCTTGGCATGTACTTGGGGCAAATCTTGGCCATCTTTGTGAGCAGTGAAATGGTTTTTCCATGTTTGAGAAACACAGGAGGTAGCAGCTCTTTTTACACAGCCGCCTTCTGACTCTTTCTACCCCTCCATCACCAGGTGTTCACACTCTCATTATTACACAGCTGTACCTCTCCAGTTACAATGTGCTGCTGAACCCACTACACAGAAGCTCTAGGAAACCCCTGACTTCTCCTTTGGGGGGTCATGAATTTCCTGTGATTTTCAGTCCCCTCCTGCTATGTTGTCTGTAGCAGTGAGATCTGGTGACCACACCCAAATTTGAAACTTTCTCTGAGCAACAGACACCTCTGCTCCTGATTTCCCATTCAGTTTTCATTAATATCAGTAATCTCTTTATATACTTCCAAACACATCGTGTCACAGCAATGGTAAATACAAACTTTCATAATTTGTTTATTTTTCAACTAAATAAATAAGAAAAAAAGGAGCAAGGGGATACTGGCTTTTCATGAGATAACGTGCTAGGCTCAACTATGAACATAATCAACTGATCACCAGCCCGGAATGCCTGTGCCTGGGGTAGGGGCTACTCACAGAAATCGATCCGTGTCGATCACAAATAGCTCCCCAGCAGATATGCTTGTGATAACCTGGAAGACTGTGAGGGAGAACAGCAGGCCAGCTCTGTCAAGGGAGAATGGAGGCAAAAGCAACAGGAAATTCAACAATAGGATGGTTTCTTTGTAACACATGTTGTTTTGTAGATTGAATAACATTATACAGATCTATTCTTTTAAAAATATCAGTACTGGAGAGACGGCTCAGGAGTAAAGAGTTCTTGCTGCTCTTGCAAGGGACCCAGGTTTAGTTGGCAGCACCCACGTGGTGGGTACCAGCCATCTGTCACTCCAGTTCAAGGGAGCCTGTGGTAGCTAGTTTTATGCTGGCTTGACACAAGCTAGGATTATCTAGAAAGGAACCCCAATTAAGAAAGTGCCTCCATAAGATCCAGTTGTAAGGTATTTTCTTAGTTACTGATGGATGGGGATGTGGCCAGCCTACTGTGCCTGGTGTATCCCTGGAATTGGACATTTATCTCCCACCTGCCATTTCCCGAATAAACACTCAGAGGCTTAATATTAATACAAATGATTGGCCAATGGCTCAGTCTTATTATTAGCAACATATAAATGAAACCGTTTCTATTCATCTAAGTATTGCCACATGGCCATGTCATTACCAGTCTGTTGGCATGTTGTTCCTTGGGTGGCTGGATTGCATCACTCAGACTCCACCGTTTTTCTCTCATGTCTTTGTTTGGATTTCCCACCTGGCTCTATCCTGCCTTGCCATAGGCCAAAGCAGCTTTATTTATCAACACATGAGAGAAATGAATATTCACAGCATACAGAAAGGCATCCACCACACACACCTGAGCTGGTGGTCCTGAGTTCTATAAGAAAGCAGGCTAAGCAAGCTCTATAGAGTAAGCCATTAAGCAGCAATCCTCCATGGCCTATGCAGATTCCTGACTAGTTTGAGTTTCTGTCTTGACTTTCTTCAATGATGGACTACAATGTGGAAGTGTAAGCTGAATAAACCCTTTCTTCCACAAGTTGACTTTTGGTCATGTATTTAATCAGACCAATAGTAACCTTAACTAAGACAGGATCCAATGTCTCCTTCTGATAGCCACATAGACATACATGTAGGGAAACACTCATACACATAAAAATAAAATAAGTATTTAAAAAATAAAGAAGGAAAATGTGGAACTCTTCTGGCTAAAAGGCCAGGTGTTATGAGTTCCATGATTATTTCTTCTTTGTCTCCACGGTGGTATCTATTAATTCAAGTGTGTCCTTTAATGTATAACAGTTTGATAACAACACTTAATATAATGATCCTAGAGTATGCAGTTTAGAAGTTAATTGGATTTAGAAGAAATCATGAGGGTGGAGCCCCATGATGATATCTGTGTGCTCACCATTGGATGAAACAGAAATGTAGTATCTACCAGAGGAGGGCTGAGAGGAGGAGGCCAGACAGAAAGACCTGGGAGAGACTCCTCACATCAGACTCTCACACTTCAGTGTGGAGACACATTTACTTTTAAATCTTCTGACCTGTGGTATTTAGTCATGGAAGCTCAACCGATCACTTCAGTTTAACTAACAAAGTTGGTAAGCATCATTCCTAATGTATAAAGAGCGAAAGATAAAGACAAATAAAACTCCCAGACATTTTCATATTTCATTCATTGGCCACTTTGATTTTACAGAAGGGTAAGAATGAAACAGTGGGAGAATCCCCACTCGACGGCTTACTGCAGACATGGATTGTGGAAACATCTTTCAAGCCTTGACTAGCCCTAAAATAGGCCAACAACTTCCTACATGGTTTCCAAAGAGCTCAAAAATGAATTCAGTCATGCTTACTTATCGTCCCATTTCAACAGGAAGTAACTTGGAAAATGCTACGCCCCCTTTCCCCATTGTTGTCACTTAGGATAGTGTATATACCTAGTTAGGAATAGCTTCCTATTGTTTATGACTTTAGGGTTTAGTTAAAATAGATAGTTATCTTCTTAAGTTTTAATCCTCTTTTAGACTAAAAGGGGAATTGTAGGGGAAGCTGTAGCCACGCCTTCTTAGGGGCTGGCTACAAGAGTACCTGAGGGCTTGTGAGGGCGTGGTCAGAGTGAGTAGGGGGACTGCGTTTTCGGTTTTGGTTTCTCTTTTCGTGTTGCTGTACAGACTACAACCGGCTGGCTGGTCCCCTCTGTAAGTAAGGCTTTTCCCTATTAAATACCCTTATATTTCTACCTGACTCCGTATTGGTAGTTTACTACTATATGGGTCCATGTGATAGGGGATGGTAAGCAGGAGGAGGGGAACAAAATGCCCTGTGCATTTATCTGTTTCCTGGACACACATATAAGGTTTCTCTAAGACAGATGGCATGACTCGGGCCTAATAGCCTGCAACATAACACCTTTTCAACTGACAGTCAGGGGTCAGTGACTATCCTTATCTTGATACACAGTGGTGGTTAGACATCAGATCAGAGTACGGGGGACCTTATTGGAGAGTAGTTTCCTCCTACATCAAAGAAAACTTCCATTTTGTACTCTACCACAGGCCAGATTATAGAGAAAGGATGGAAAAGGAAAAGACAACCTAAGAATGGGTAATACTCTGAGAAGATGAGGAAGCCTGACCTCTATGACTCCTGGACCTTGGAAGACAGAGGATGAGGGCAGCCTGGGCTACATGACAAGTTCTGGGCCTGTCAGGTCACAACTGTGGCTCTGCTTCAAAGATCCAAACATAGAGCAGAGGACATAGGTACCCCATCACCCATGGGCACTCCATATCCAACCACAGAGCAGAGGACCTGGGTTTCTCCTCCTCTCCTAAAGAGCCTGTCTGGCTTTCAAGGATCATCTGTTTAACTTTACTAAATGCACAACTTTCTCCCTCTCCACTCTTCCATTCCCACACACCCATTCCCTGCTGCTTAGGGAATTCTCCATCTCTGTCTCCAAAAATTGTCCTCAAGTTCCATCTGTGCTTACTTTCATGTTTTTATCAGCAAAACCAGGAATCTTATGGCTCTGGCTACACGTAATCATTTATACCACATCTACTTTTTGATCTGAATTTTTAAATATTAAAATTGTAAATTGACAACCTATAGCTACACATTTAACATACAACACTGATATGATTCATGAACAATTTTGTGCAGTAATTATATCAAACTAAATTAGGTGATATCCATCACTAGAAATATACATCATTTTTATGGTAACACATTAGAAATATATTCCCAGAAATTTTAATTTCTGGATTGAATGTGCTGTACAATCAATCTCAAAGGAAAAAAATCTTACTTCTCATGTTTAACAGATTTTATACCCTTAGGCCTTATGTGTCTCCTCACTCCCCACTGCCCTGGCAATCACAAGTGTACACTATGCTGCCTGGAGGTCAATTGCTTATAATCCAGATGTAAGTGAAAAATGTTTCTCTTTCTGGGTTTAGATTATTTTATTCTACATGATGTTCCTCAAATCTTCAGTTCTATCCATATTGTTACAAATTCCCATTTTAAAGATAAGCAGTATTCCAAGCCACATTTTTTGTACCAGTTACCTGTTGGTGGACACTTAAATTCTTTAACTTGGCTACTGTACCTACTGCTCCAATGAACATCAGACTTCACATGCATTTGGGTAAGTGATTTTTTTTTCAATACAAGTCTTTATTGTCCCAAAAGACACCACAAATAGTACTTAATTCAGGATCTTGTTTCTGGAACTGGTTAACTTAGGTCTTACTCATCAGCCTGCTGCACTGTTCCCTTTTCAGACACATAGATACCATCCAAAAACTTCCTGATATCTTTGTTTTTAACTGTTGTGGCTTGCTGAATCAGAGCCGCTGAATTTGAAACAAGTTCAATATCATTTCCTTCATGGATTAATTCATCCTTTTGGGCTTGAGAAACAGAACAAGCAACACCTGTTCTCATCCGAACCCTGCGGATGTATTTTTCACCCAAGAAATTTCGGATTTCAACCAAAGACCCGTTCTCCTGAATAACAACGTTGATGGGGAAGTGAGCATACACAGACCTCATCTTGTAGCGGAAGCCCAGTGTGACTCCCTTGATCATGTTCTGAACATGACTGCAGATGGTCCGGACAGTGGCCAGTTCTTTTCTGTTACCCCACCATTTGTCTACCCGGAGCCTCTTCTTCTTCTTCCCGAGGAGACTCAGCTCTACATTGATGTGATTGAAGTCCCTTCGGAGGATTCCTCTAGGGCCCTTCACAATGACTGTGCGCCCCTTCAGAGTGATGTCCACATTTTCTGGAATGTCGACGGTCTGATTGCTGAGAATGGTCTTCATTCTCGCAGTAGATGGGGCAAAGAGAGAACGTCCTTCTGGGTAAATGATTTTTAATAGGCATGTAAGTATGCACAGGACAAATGTCTGTGTCCAGTTATTTTTTTAATGCCTTTCCCTAAAATTTTGGCTACCACCTCAACACTAAAATGCTACTAAGCCAGCAGAGCTCATATGCAACAAAATTCAAACCTAGTTCCTAGTTATACAGTTGTACAAAGTACAAGGGCAATGCTGTATCCAAACATGAGAAGCATCTCTGGTGTCCCAAACATTACTGATGAAGGAGATATTGATATTAAACCTGAAAATGATTTACAGCTTTATTCCACAGATGATGTTGCAGAAGTGTTTCCAACTGTCCTACTTAGGTCTCTTTTGCTGTGAAGAATACCCTGACCAAGAGTAATCTGAGGAGAATGGAAAAGCTTACATGTTTCAAGTCACAGTCTAACCCTGAGGAAAGTCAGGCAGAACCTTGGAGGAAGAGAGGCAACCTGGGCCACAGAGCAGTGCTCCTTACTGGATTACCCCTCATGACTTGTTCAGCCTGATTCTTACACAACTCAGAACAACATGCCTAGGGGTAGCTGTGCTCCAAAGGGGCTGACCCGTTCCACATCCATCATTAATCAAGAAAATGTCCCACATGTCTTACCTACAAGCCAATCTAATAGGCTCATTTTTTTAGTCAAGGTTCTTCCTCCAATATGACTCTTGCTGGTGCCATGTTGGCAAAACTAACCAGCACACTAACCAAAAGAATCAGGGCAACTGAAATAAACCACACACAAAGGACATTGTCCTACAGTCCTACTTCTTGTCAAATACCAGTACCAGAGGAAGTGAAAAACACAAATTAAGAGCATTTCACAATTTCTAAGAAGAATATGAAGAAACAGTTAATAAAGTTCTTCTTTGTGTCAGCATTTTCCAAGAACATTTCCACATATGGTTTTTCAGAGTTTATATGTGAATGCTTCCTGTGATGGGGTCTACACCGTCTATCCTGCGATAGTATCTACACCATCTATATTCTTGTCTATGCTGTGCTTGGTTAGGATTTGCTGTCTATACAGGGTGCAAACTAAGTGTTAGAAGATCTGGAAAGCTTTCAGATCTTGGTCTTCAGGGAAGGTGAAACAACGACAGACTGGAAATAGCTGCAACAATCACTTCACTGCAGACTAACTTCTGATCCACTCAGAAGGAAACTCACAGAAGAAGAGATTTTTATGTTTTCTCTTTTCCCCAAAATTAATTGCTGTTTTCCACACGTCAAAACAGATTTGTTGGGCTGTGGAGCTGGCTCATTCACCAACATGTCTACCATGCAGCCATCAGAGCCTGAGTTCAGATGCCTGGAGTCCATGTAGAAGTACCCAGGCACAGAACTTCACATCTGTAACTCCAGTGAAGGGTAAAGAGGTGGATGCTTGTAGCTCATCACTCAGCCAGCCTAGCCAAGTCAATGAGCTTCATATTCAGTGAGGGAACTGTCTTGAAAAAGAAAGTGGAGGGTCAAGGAAAACTTGCCATCAATCTCTGACCTCCACATGCAGATACATGTATGTTCACCAACAGGAACATGTTTACACACCCACATAAACAGAAGTGCGTCTCACACAAACCTGGACCTACACTCTCTCACTCAGTCTCTCTCTCTCTCTCTCTCTCTCTCTCTCTCTCTCTCTCTCTTGAATGTTCCTGAAGTTCTTAATCATTTTTCCTTGGTAGTCAAGCCTCTCTGCCTATTGGGAGGTACCCTGGCTGTGGTTCTCAAGCAGGAGCCCACTTGAGAAAACAGTGGTGTGCTACACATGAAATACAGTGAAAATTCTGAAAATTGTGATTCTTGTGTTAAACTATGTTTGGGCTATGTAGTCATTTAAAAGATTTAACATGGGAGCATATCTTTAAAGTTACATTATAGCTCAAATTAGACAAGGACCACAAAAGTGACGTCTATTTAACAAGTCAGGAAAATTTGAGTCCCATCCTATTAGCCCAAACTCACACACATTCAAACAATCCAAATAAATTCAAGAAAATTGACACCTGAGCAATAAAAGGAGAATAAATAGGTAAACTAACAACCTTTCTGCACCACAGCATTATAAACAGAGTAAAAAGGGAACACACAGAAGGGAAGAAACATCTGTGGATCATGTGTTTGAGGGGGATTCACATCTCATAAACAAAATAACTATAACTCAACAGCAGGGAAAATTAAGAGCCAGTGAGACGGTTCAGCAGCTAAAATGATGGCCACCAAGCTTGATGACCTTGAGTACAACCCCTGAAATCCCTGCGGTGGAGGGGGTCAGCTCTTGTTTATTGTCCTCTGGCCTCCACACGCATGCTGTAGCACACACGTGCCCACACATACACACACTAACAAAATAAATAATTTTTGAGTGAAAGGAAAACATTCCTATTTAAAACAGGAAAATGGGTCCTCAGTCACTTAATAAAACATTGAGTGGATCACAAACTATTTTTCTTAGACATCTTAGTCCAAACAAGAAAGAACATAGGTTGAGTGAGGCTGTGGACATACTGGAGCCCCTATGTTCTGCTCCTGAGGATACAAACATTACAGTGGATTTGGAGACAGAGCAGAAGTTCCTCAAGTTAACACATGGCCTATGATTTGTCAGCTCTAGCTTTCTACCTTCAAGAGTAAAGTCCAGGGCTCAAACACATGTGCTTGCACACTCAACAGCATGGTTCACAGCAGCCAAAGGTGACAGCAAACCACATGTCCAGTCACAGTGAATGGGAAGCAACACAGCAAATACACACAATGGACTATTTATTATTCTGCCTTACAGAGCCCAAGAAATCCCCACACATGCCACACTTTGATGTGCCCTGAGGACATTACACCAGTGGAAATAAGCCAGCCAAAACAAACTAGAACAAGACCAAAACAGAACCAAAAACCATACTTGTGTGACTCCAATTCAGGGCTCTTACATTAGTCATAGCCAATGACAGAAAGTAGAATGGTTGATGCCTGGAATCAGGAGTGGGTGGTATGGGGATTCTTCTTTCAGATCTATGGGATTCTATTCGGGAAGATAAAGGATGCCCTATGTTTAGAGTGTGGTGATGGTCACATAATATGAAGCTGCTCCATACACTAAAATTGTAAAATGAGAAATGTGTGGTGTGTATAGATCCATACTATCTACACACAAACCTACATGAAAAAGTGAGTACTTCCACTCAGCTTTCAATGTACCAAAACATTTTATCACATGATAAAGTGTTTCTTCTGTTATTGTCATGAATTCCGATTCTTAATGGATTTATATAAGCTTGGATCTAAATGAGGATCCAACTTTGCTTACCTGTTCTGAACTTCAGTACAAGTATTTCTTAGGGTACATAAAATGGTCCCCAAAACCACTGCCAGCACGATTGTGAAAAATGCCTTTCAAAAAGAAAACAGGGAAAAGGAAACATTTCCATTAGGAGTAGAAAGCATTCTACACACTGTTCATTATTTTAAGATATATGGTTTCACCCTTGGGCATATGCCCAAAGGAAGCACATTCATACCACAAGGGCACTTGCTCAGCTGTGTTCTTAGCAGCATGGTTTGTAATAGCCATAATCTGGAAACAACCTAGATGCCTATCAACCAAAGAGTGGACAAAGAAAATGTGTTACATTTACACAATCGAGTATTACTCAGAAGAAAAAACAAAAAACAATGACATCTTGAAATTTGCAGGCAAATGGATTGGTTTAGAAAAAAGAAAACATTCTGAGTGAGGTAACCGAGATGCAGAAAGACAAACACAGTGTGTTCTCCTTCATAAGTAGATATTAGAGGTAAAGCAAAGGGTAACCAGGCTACAATCCACAACCCCAAAGAAGCTAGGTAAGAAGGAGGGCCCTAAGGGGGACACACAAGGAGGGTCCCAGGAAGTGGAATATTTAGGATCTCCTGGGTAAGCTGGGAGGGAGGTAAAAGGGAGGAGATGGGGGATGGGAGCATGAAGGATGCAGATGGCCAAGTTGGGGGAGGGACTGAGAGGGAGAGCAATGAAAGAGATAACATGATAGAGGGGGCCATTATGGGGGTAG